TTTCAATGAAGTATTGTATGAAGGGATATTAAAGAGTTGTGGCCAGAAAATTAAATTTGAAATATATATGCTCCACTGATATCTGTGAATACAGTAAGCATTTCTGAGAAATTTGACCTTCACATTAAAGTCATTCTTTAAGATTCTCAAGTGACCTTTTGCAGTAATATAAATGTTTCACCCTTGGTTTTATATTTATAGACTTCGTAAAAGAGATGTATTACCCACGTATCTTTAAATTGCCTTCATATTTTTGTAGTGGCCATTTGTTTTTCGTTCAAAGGTGGCATTCCTTAATACGTATGGCAAGATTTGATGTATAAAAGCATGCGATTGAAAGTCACCTGATGGCTTGTTCGCTTATGTGAAGTGCATTGTTTAGGAATTGTTGTGGATAGTAGTTTGACTCTAATCAGAACTGCCTTTGAGGTATTTCGTTTTCTCTCCGAATATGCGCAACCCTATGTGATACTGCTGTGTGCATCAACAAATTTAATATGAATGTAGAGAGCGCCTGATATAGCTAGGGCAACTATTTTGGCTACAGCAGTGACGCTGACCCGAAGGTCCTAGGATTCGATTCCCGACGGAGGGAGGTGAATTTTCGACCCTAGTTAGGTAGGGAGGGCGATTTCAAACGCCGTGTGGAGAATGAATTACAACCATCGACATTTATTTTGATCGAGTTTTTAACCTATGCGCTGTTAAGCTTCACGAAAACGATCGCGATCAATCGAAAATGCTCGGCGGAGAAACTCTCAGCTTTTCCTCCTCGCGTGTCTTAATTGTCCATGTTTTAAAAAAAATGTAGTTATTTATTTAAGGTAGCTTTATAACATCTAGGTCACCAGCGATCCCTATCAAAATGCAATTGTATACAAAACAATACAGTATATATAATTATATCAAGAATATGTTAAGCTTAATTACGTTTTCTTAACATGTTATGTTTATTCTAACTAAAGTACTAATACAATATTCATAGCTAAATAAGGCTGTACAGTTTTGTAATTTCTGAGAATTTTACTACTTTGGGACACCCGTCTGTGGAACTGAGCCATGATTTAGGGTTCCTTCCATTTTCAGAAGTTTTCTTATATTATCTGCAGGCCGAGATCGCTAAGGGAGTAGTGCCGTGGCCATCTCGGACGGAAGAACCAAGTGTTCAAGTTTTGCCTCGGGCGTGGGTGTGTTTGGGTATGTCTGTTTGCGTGCGAGTCCATTCATTCCTCATTATCATTATCAATCCATATTCCATTCCCCAGGTCTAGCAGCAACTCTGGGGGATAAAAATCGGATTCAGCATAATGCTGATCACCCCAATATGGAATCACAGACACTTGCCTCGACATAAATGTAACTGAGCCTCAGGAAGTACAGGTGTGTACGTCTGCGTGGTCCTAGACGGTAAATTATGACCAAAAACGTATTGAGTTGAGGTGGCAATAAACGTAATTTAATTTATTTTATTAAAGAAACAATGTTATTTTAGTTTACAACACACATTTTACTTGAGATTTATTTAATTATATAACTGATATTTATTATAAGGTTGATATTCTTCTCGGTTAAATTTCCAATTAATAATTGGCGTCAGCAATTCGTTTATTACTCTTGACCGGATTTAAATTGTACTGCATTACCTTCATTGAACCTCCGTTTAAAGGATTTGTGAAAATCTGATCAATGATCTATGGCATTATAATTATTAATTCTACACATTTTCGCAATAATACAGAGGAGTTACAGGTTTACTCCAACATATTCTTAGCTTATTCTTAAGCAATAAAAAAGTTAATAAAATTATTACCGGCATTAAATTTTTACTGCATTGACTTTATTTAACTACCGTTCAAAGAATGCGTGAAAACTCTGATCAAAGATCTACATTATAATAATTCATTCCAAACATTTTCGCAATAATACAGAGGTGTTACAGGTTTACTCCATCATATTCTTTATTCTTAGCGAGTTCTTAAGCAATAAAAAAGTTATGCAAATGATCAGCCCTCTAGGCAAGAAAGTTTGAGAGTCTTGTACGCAGGATGCGTTTCGTAATGTGGTGCTAAAGAAATGTAGTTAGCCTTCGCAGTCAATTTCCGTTAATGAGGAAAACATTTCTTTTCTTACTAATTATATGTATATATTTTATATATTATATTATTTTATATATATATATGTATTTATATTTTGTTAAATATTACTTTTTCAATGGCAGGATGCGACTTTTGCGCTTATTGTCTTTGCAGTACGATTAATCGAAAGTTTGTTCATTTGTGTGTACAATACACAAATGATAATACGATTAATCGTACTTACGATAATATGAATATCATAGTGAAATATTTGTAACGTACAAAAAAAAAAGGAGTAAGAGTTTTATTAACAAAGTGAGAGCCCGAGCGCTATTAGTCAGGGACGTATATTTCTATACAACGTGAGTTTTATACTTCGTTTCAAGCCTTATTTTTTTTTTTTTTTTGTGTGTGTGTGTTTGCTTTCCTATATTCAGGTTCAAGCACGCTATGTGCACCACCTAGCCGATGTCTGTCAATAGATGAAACTCCTGTTTTCGGTTATTGCGATTACCTTCTCTGGCTTCCTTTAGAGTGTGAATGCAGAGAACGGAGGTTTTATTAAGCCGACTTTAAACCAATCACATTAAAGAACACCCATTATTCAATTCTCTTAGGTAAAGTGATGGTTCTGTGCCATTTATAAAAAACGACGTAAAACCCCATAAGTGTCCTACTTCTAGAAAAGGAATGGTCTCAAGGCCTGCATCAATCAAATCCAAGACGAATAAAATAGACCGGTTTTTCTAAACCTATATATTAATAAAAGGAAATGTGCGTATGCCTATTGTTCATAGCAAAAACTACTCGACTGATTTCGCTGGTGTGGATCGGAGAAACTACAGTAAACTACCGTTCAGAGCAACCGGTTGCTAGTATTCTCCTCCAGACAATGGCTGAATTCGATCCAGCTATGTACTCGTAGCTATTGTCGAAAGTCCTGCCACCGTTGGGACTCGAATCTATGACCTCCCGGTTCAGTTGCAGTGACATGAGTTGATGCACAAAGCCACGTCTCCCGTTCCTTTCGGTCGACTTGGCGTGGCTTTCATGCGGACTGAAGACCCACATCACGATTCTGGACGTGAAGGCTTTCGACAAGATTTACGAAATGGGAACTGTAGTCATGGTAAAACTAATAACATACTCTTGTTTCATAGTATATGTTAACGACCCTTAAGTAAGGCAGACTAACCATTTTGCAATCACAACAACTTTATTTGTTTCAATTGCAGATCACCTGGTTTGTACTCCGTAGTCACTGTTGTCTCTCTTCAAAATTCAGACATGCTCATTTCTATCTTTACGTGTTGTATTTCTATCCCTGGTTGCTCTACAACCAAGCCGAAACGTTTACGCCCAACACCCAACGCCATTACAAGAAAAAATTAAATATGGACCCTTGATTCTGAAATGCCCGCTATTAGGGGAACTCCTTACTAGAAATTCAATGGTGCAAAATAGACTCTAATCAGACTTATAGTTTCGGAGCTACAAGGAAAAGAGGACAGAGTCGCAAGTGATAGAGTACAAAATACTCTTACGTGAAAAATTAGCTAAAAACTTTAATTTCACCCTTTGATTCTGAAATTCCCTCTATTGGAGGAACTGTTTACGAGAAATTGATTGGTGCAAACTAGTCTCCAATCAGACTTATAGTGTTGGAGATAGAGGGAAAAGAAGAAAGAGTCACAGGTGATCAAGTACAAAATACGTGAAAAAATTGCAAAAAAATTAATTTCGGCCCTTCATTCTGAATGTCCCTCTATTAGAGAAACTCCTTAGTAGAAATTCAATGCGGCAAAATAGTCTCTAATCAGACAAAGTTTCGGAGTTAGAGGGAAAAGAAGACAGATCCACATTAGATCGAGTACAAAATACACTCCATTACATGAAACATTTGCAAAAAGTTTATTTTGGCACCTTCATTCTGAAATTCCCTCTATTGGAGGCACTGTTTACGAGAAATTGATTGGTGCAAACTCGACTCCAATCAGACTTATAGTGTTGGAGATAGGGGGAAAAGAAGACAGAGCCATAGGTGACCGAGAACAAGATACGTGAAAAATTTGCAAAAAGTATTATTTCGCCCTTGATTCTGATATTCTGTTTATTGGGGGAACTCTTGACGAAAAATTTAATGGTAAAACCTAGACTCCAATCAGACTTATGGTTTTGGAGATAGAGGGAAAAGATGACAGAGCCGTACGTGATCGATACGACACAATACCTCCTCTTTACGTGAAAAATTTGCAAAAAATTAATTTTTGCCCCCTTTTGTTGATATTCCGTGTATTGGGGGAACTGTTTACGAGAAATTGAATGGTGCAAACTAGACTCCAATCAAAGTTATAGTTTCAGTGATTAACGGAAAACAAAATAGAGCCGTAGATGAATGAGTACAAACGACTCCTTACGTACACAGTTACACTTACTACTTATTCCAGTACACTACCACATTCTCAAGCCTAAATGACGCCTCTGAGCAAAATTCAAAACGCCTGTTTCTCGCCCAAGATACCTCCTCTCTCTGCTACGTGAAAGGAGCGCAGCGAAATTTGCGTGGTCAGACGGAAGAGCAGGCCTAATGACCTGAGCCACACCACGAAAAATAAGGCATTTATTCAGTTCAATTCATTTCAATTCAATTCATAAGTCGGGATTTTAGACCTTCTCCCGGCAAGAGCGGTGCCCGCTGGTGGGATGTACTTGGTTGGGGAAAAATCCGCGAGCCAAAATGTAAAGTCGGCGCCGTATCTCGCCATCCAACGAGGGAAGATTACCGCGATAAAAACATGCACTACACTTCCTGTACTAATAGCCTTAGCAGTTAACGTGCCTGTAATCATTAACCAGTCAATCAGTTGGCGAATGCGTGTTTGGAATGCGCCCCACTGAGCGCGGTGTGCTTGTGTGTGCTTGCAGGCGTCGTGGGCGGCCGACCTGGCCATCCAGATCCCGGCGGGCGGCGGCGGCGCCTTCCGCCTGGACTACCAGCCGCCCGTGGGCGAGCCGGCGCCCAACTCCACCGTGTCCGGCGGCGAGATCCGCTTCTCGCGCGCGCTGCCCGGCACGCGCTACGAGTTCTGGCTCTACTTCAGCAACAGCTCGGTGAGCGAGCTGCTGACGTGGACGGCGTCCATCACCACGGCGCCCGACCCGCCCACCAACCTCACGGTGACGCCGCAGGGCGGCAAGCAGGCGCTGGTGTCGTGGCGGCCGCCCGCGCGCGGACACGCCTCCTCCTACAAGATCAAGGTGAGATGTGGCCCGGCCTGCCAGGCGTTGGGATGCTATTTATTAACGAGGTTTAGGGAAGGGAATCAATCCGAGTACACGTGAAGTCATGAATCTTGGGTTTCTTTAAGTCCTCGATTTCTTAAAGTCCTTGATTTCTTAAAGTCCTCGATTTCTTAAGGTCCTCGAGTTCTTAATCCTGCAATCATCTAATACTTAAATCCTGGAATTCTCTATTCCTCAAACTCCTTAATATCTTATTCTTTAAATCGTTGATTTCATTAAAACTTCAATTATAAATACTTAAGTCCATATTTCGTTAAACACGTAACTATTAAAATCCCTCAGTTCTTGAATCCTTAAAACCCTGACCCGTCCCTTCCCCCTATTTCTCCATCACTGCGTATCCTCTCCTCTCCATCGCACTTGGTCTCCATCTTGAATTCTTGAATACTCGCATACTTGTTTACTCGGATGTCTCAAATCATAAAAATTCTAATTCATTTTGAGTACTGTTTACTGTCTTTTCTAAGCTTTTACTGTTTATAATCTTCAACTTATACATTCTTACGCGTTATTTGAATCTTTTGACATCTAAATTTTACTAGGCTGATTTCTCTATTTTAAAAAGTAAAATTATAGCTTAACTGATTAATCCATCAGTTTAAATCATCTATCGAAGTATAAACCACTCTTTATCAGAACGAAACTTGAGAAATAAAATCTATGAACGAAAATTTATGAAAAATATTAAGAGAAGACATTGAGAATTGTAAAAAAAACAAACAAATATTGTTCCATTAGTGTCATAAATAATCATATTAATTAAATATCTCGCTGTTGTTTTATTTTAATGAATATGAATGTCAAATTAATCTTATGTTAAGTGCCTCATTTATCATGTTTTATTGTTTGATATAAATTGATTTTTGTGCTCTCTCACGTTATTCCAATAAGATAAAACAGATAATAAAGATGATTTGTTGCATATGGGCACGTATGTATTAACGTAAAAAATATTTGTGTTTACCGCCCTTAAAAGATATAAAAATACAAGAAATTAATCATTTGAGTAATGTTTCTGATAATTGAAATATGGAATGATCTCATAGGGATAAGACCATGAAACAAGAGTAGAGCCAGTAAGTTGATAAGATTGATAAAAAAACGATTCCAGATAACTTTGCCTTATGATATTCATAATAATATACTGACGAACACTATACAATACAAGCAAAAACAATTACGTATTTTAACGGTTAAGCGCAAATTAACGTCCAAAGAGCAAATATTACACAGTTAGGTGTTAAAGCGACACACCAACGCAGGAACGCCATCTGTAAAAACATGTATTGTGCATGACTAAATTTAACTCAACACTTTTATTCGCTAATAGGCAGTGTTAACGGTGCCTGCCATTGGGCCGGAAGGTTGTATTCGCAACATTACTGTTATCAAATCTAAATGTTTCATCAATGTTTCATCTCCCAATCTATCAAATGACTCAACGGCCGTCGTTGGCTGCAGGTCATCCCGCTGTCGGAGTCTCTGCCTCCCGAGGCCCAGCGCGCGGTCACGCTCCACGAGACGGGCCTGCAGTACACGCTGCAGAACCTGACGCCCGGCGCGTCCTACCAGCTGCAGCTGCTCACCGTCTACGACGACAAGGAGAGCCTGGCCTACACCTCGCGCAACTTCACCACGAGTGAGTACTCGCCCGTTCGCTTCTCTTCGAGTTAGCGGCTTCAGGTGGCGCGAGGGAAGCTCCGATCTGAGTGGACGCCTTTTCTCCGCCGACTGCTTCTTCACGCACTGCTGCCCGTCGACCTCTTCTCCGTCCATTCCTTGCTGCTCCATCCCCCTCCGGTCCACTTCTTCCTCATCCACTTCTTTCCCGTCTACGTCTTCCCAGTCCACTTTTCCCTTGTACTTGTTTCTTCACCCGTCGACCTCTTCTCCCGTCCCATTTCCTGCTGCTATTCCAACTTCCCGTCCCTTTCTTCTCATCCACTTCTTTTCCGTTCTACGTCTTCCCAGTCACTTTTGCTGTACTATTGTTTTAACATCCCCGTTGAGCTCTTTCCGTCATTCCTTGTGACTCCTTCCCGTTACCACTTCTTCCCATCACACTTTCTTTTTCCCGTAACTACGTTTACCAGTCACTTTTCCTTGCTCTTGTTTCTTCCCGTTGCTCTTCACGTCCATTCCTTGCTGCTCATCCATTCCCGTCCACTTCCTTCCTCATCTACATTTTTCCCGTCTACGTCTTCTCAGACAACTTTTCTCTGTCTACTTGTTTCTTCCGTTGACTCTTCTCGTCCATTCCTATGCTGCTTCCATACTTCCACGCGTCACATTTCCTCATTCCCCACGTCTTCTTTCCCGTTATCGTCTTCCCAGACGCATATTTCTTGTACTTGTATTCTTTCCTGAATTTTCCGTCTTCCTTGCTGCTCATCATTCCCCCTCACTCTTCTCATTACTTCTTTTCCGTTTATGTTTTTCCCAGTCCATGTTTCCCTTTACTTGTTCTTCCCCGTGACCCTGCCTCGTCCCGTCCATTCCTTGTGCTCATCCACCTATCCCGTCACTTCTTTCCTCATACTTCTTTCCCCGTTACGTCTTCCCCATACCATTTTTCTTGTACTTGTTCTTCCCGTTGACCTTTCTCGTCATTCTTGCTGCTCCTCCCATTCCCCCGTTTCTTCTCTTACTTCTTTCGCTAACGGTCTTCAGTCTTTTCCCTTCTACTTCTTCCCCGCCTACTTCTCCCCTGTCTATTTTCCCCCGTCTCATTTTCCCCAGTTTACTTTTCCCACCTCTATTTTCCCCCGTCCACTTCTTTTCGCATCTATTTTATTCCACGATTAGGTTTTACCTTCAGATTTTCTCCATCTGTATTTCATTTTCCCCATACCCTTCTTATGATGTATTGATAATGTGACATAGTTGTCCAGGTACCAATAATTGATATCTGATAGTTGGTGATGAATTTTTTGGTTAATTATCTGGCTAATTATGGTGTGTATTGCGATTTAGATGATTAGTAGGAATTTGTAACTGGTTCTCATTTTTCTCTAAATCAGTTACATAAATTACAAATTTCTTTCGTGTTATTACTTTCGTTACATTTATTCAAGATAGGGAACTTTTTCGCCAAACATTCTAAGAGATTGTACACAATATCTTGAACATTAAGATTCCTTAACCTTTCTCGAGAGAATTCTAGAATTGTGTTTTTAGTTACATAATTCTGGCTTACATGTTTAAGTGAGAATTTTGATTTCATAACCAACGTAGGACAAGAAAATGTGTCACGACATGTTTAAATTCTCAAGAAACTTTTAGAATTACTTTCTTCATATACTCTCCCATTTACGTGTTGAGAACGTTGCATCTTTATGTAACAGCATTGTCACAAAAATTATTTGCAAAGGCAAAAGCAATTCATTCTGTGCCACACACTCTCGGAAAGTGTTTTTATTTCATCATCAGAAGAATCAGCACTTAGCATTATGTGGAAAACGATAACATTCGGTTCATTGAAAGAGTTTCACATCTCACGTGGGTTTTCGCATGTTACTTTCTCTTATTCTTTCCAGCATTGGGCATTCAAATCATTCCCTGCCACTGCGACAATATGGATTTTTTTCTAACATTCATTGTTTTAGTGAATCTGTTCAAATTTTCAGGAAACATTGTCAAATCAGAATGATACTCTGCTTTCGTCCTTTGCTATTTTTCAGAGAAGACAATAAAGTTATAGATGCGTACAGTAGATGGTAGAGTGTCTGCGTGATGAGGCAAGAGATTGGGTGAAGTGGTTACGTAACGTTACAATAACGTTACACTAAGGTCATAGGTTCGAAACCCTAGTGGATGTTTTAAGATGTGATTGTAGAATTTACAATCCTCCTCGTGCCTCCCTTTAACCCATTACCTGTCGTCCCTTGCCCTTATCTGCTGATGATAGAAGAATTCTCATCCGATGATATGAGTCCACGGACTAAGGCAATGACGTCATCGGAAACTCTTACTCCCCCCTCGGAAGGCACCTCGTAAGACATCGAGGCGGGCCCACGGGGTACCACAGGCATTACAAAAGATTCTAACCAATGCAGGCCTACAAGCTACCTCGGTTGGTTATTAGTGATTAGTTATTAGTGACTCCGGGCGCGTCAACTACTGAGGTCATTAGTCAAAAAAGTGTAGTGCCTCCGAGTGTGACAGTGATTCTCCCCCGCTGGATGGCGAGATCCAGCGCCGACCTACCGTCGGCTAGCGGGAGTTTTCTCAACCAGGTATCTCCCACCAGCGGGGCATCGCCCTAGCGGGGACAAACTCTAAGCTCTCGACCGGTCCCCAGGTTTGTGTGGTAGTGTAGAGCATGCTAGTGTGTGTGTAAGGGGTGTCAGTACTCGTTTTTTTAGAGTACTGCTCTGGTATTCGTCCCGTTTCATCGGAGGAATACCAATCAGAGTAGGATTCTCTTTCAGACAGCGACTGAATTCGACCCAGCTGACTTGCTAGTGTCGAAAATCTTGCCACTTCGGGACACGAAACAAGGATCTCCCGGTCAGAGGCACTCAGTTGATGCACTGAGTCACCTCTCCCGGTGCTATCTCGGTGGTGATGCTTGGGGAATGATGGAGTCTGGGAGTCTTGGTCTGAGCTTGACCAAGACGAAGCTGTCGGGTTAAGTGTCAGTCCAGTCGGAAGGGTAATCAGTGGGCGGTAGATTGGATTAATGGGGCCCAGAATAATTGTTCTCGGGGTCTAAACTTGTTTAATTGTAACCACATCTTGAACTTAAAACCCCTCGATCCCCTGCCTCGCTTGTTCCCTTGTTCGGCCTCACTAGCAACCGTTTAAATTGTGCCTGGCGACGGACAACTATCACGTGTTTGAGAAGATATTAATGAGATGCACGTTTCGAGTGGTGCAGTTGATGCATTTGAACTGAACATGTCTCTGGAGAGCTATGGTTCCACGAATGATAACCATTCAAATCCTCCTGGAAGCACGGTCCGTGGGTCGACGGGGCTTCATGTCGTTTAATCTCATATCGCTTGCCGTGACATCTACAACTAAAGCTTCTTAGACTGAGGGTCATAAGTAACTCTCGATAACGGGGGAGGGGGGATTTTCGATTCTAATAAAAAAAACTCTAGATCTGACGATACAACAGTCTAGATGATTCCTGTTTCCCTCACGGGAACTTGCCAATGGCTCACGGAGAAGTGCGAGAACCCGATCTGACGGTCATAGTTTCCGCAGATTGTGATTTACGACTTTAGGTCGAGTTTGCTTGCGAGTAAGGTTAGATGAGGACGTAAAGTGTGTTTTTCAAGTTACTGTTACTCAGTGAATTGGGGGTTTGACACTAGCCCAGAGTAGGCAAGCGACATTACATCCTTGTGTTGTAAGTTGTGTTTCGCATCTTCAGTATTTTAAAGTAACTATCCTTAACTTATACATAATATACCCCTTCCTGTACGCTCGTAACCTTTAATATGAGGTTGCCTCAATAATCCACTAAATATCCCCGGTACCGACTGCCAATGATGTTGAATGTGCTAGTGATAGAGAGAAAATCTGCTGTTGTTGCTTCCTGATAGTGCACACTGTTATGAAATTTTTAAATATAAAAAAATATAAAATATCAGGTCTAGGAATTTCTACAGAGAGAATAAATATTTACTCCTCAGCATCTTCTAGACACCTCAACACTCGCGATGATGATGCATTTGTTTCGCGACAATTAGTCGAATCGTGAACGTGCCTTGTCCGAAAATAAATTTGGACTGTGATGGTAATTAATACTGCAATAAGACATGTTTACACTTTCGCGATCCAAGGAATAGCGTTATTTTGAAACACCTGAGTGCTTTCGTAGCTTGTGTTTAAGAAGCTCGCACAACCGCAACAGAATGATATTTCGGCTGATACTATACTTGTTACGCAATTAACTCGAATTTATAATTTTCTGTTTCTCAAGTGAAATATTTTTACTGCGCTTACCTTCAACATAACGAAGTTAATGTTAGTGTGAAGATGGTATTACATCGTTCTTACAGGTGCATGTTTATTACTGAATTCAACAGCAAATTTAATTGCGCATTTCAGTACAACGAAATGAGCTCTGATGTTCCATTTCTGTAGGGTTGAAATGATGCATCTAAACTACAATTTTTGCGGAGTCACCATGCATAATATCGTTGGCATTGCACGCCTGTTGAGGTGCTCTTGCGGTGGTGGTAAAGTGCTTACCGAAATGAAGAGACGCTAACGCGGAAAACTGAAAGGACTTCTTGCTTAACTTCTGCTTTCGAAGAAAGCACGCCGCATAGAGAAGTACCAGGTATTCCAAGGTGCTTACTTGTTTCGAATTGCGGTACAAATCAAGGAAAACTAGATATAATTACTGGACCGAGAATGGCTGATAGTCCTGGCAACTTCCTTGTGTGTTCCTGGAAATACGTTATGTATACTTTGAATGTACATTGTTCACGTATGCATATATGGTCATTTACTGGTACGTATGTACTCAACAATGTGGTAAATGAAGACATAATAAAGCACTACTCGGTGCATCTAAAATCCCTCATTTCAAACGGATATTCTCAGTTTTTGTTTTAGAATAGTAGATTGTAATATAGAACATAACGATAAATTGTACTGGAAATAAATTTCAATGCGATTGTC